CGACTAGAACCGTTAAACAAGTGTCTGAAACGTGGCCCTTATTAATGGATGTTGTGTGTGAGCCTGAGAAATACAGGGGAAGAGCCCGGAGTACGTGCTTTAACAGCTTCGCAGGGCACAGAGTTGGCTAAAGAGACCGTAAATGGTTGAGCTGAGCAGCTAGGGCCCGTAGAGCACAGTGCTGTAATTTAAGTGCATCCCTTAAAAACAATAATAACAATAAAAGTTACCTGATTCAGTGTTGTTAAATACAGGCTCTACACTGTTCTGCTTAGTCACTGTGCTGTACTGGTATCTGAGGCTAACTTGTTTTCCAAGTTCTGCACTGCAAATGATATTTCTCTTCCAAGAGGTAGTCTCTTTTTTACTAACGAAGTATAAACACTGATCTCCATGATTGATAATGAAAATTAAACTACTTAAAATGTCCTTTTGATTAAGACTGCTAACAATAAAGCCCTATTTGTGTAAGGGATGTAATCAATGTGTATTTGAATTATGGACTAAAACTAATGTGTGAAACCGACTTTAATGTAAATAGTTTTGCATTGACTGAATTTGATCAGGCAAAATCTATGGATATATCCCATCATGTAGAATTATGTAATAATCCTTGACGTGTACAGCCTAGACATGTATGAAAATTAATTTTACACTTCTTGCATTTGTTGCACCTTAACATGACTAAATTTTGGCTGATGAGATCCAAATAGGTATAATGTCAAGATGCTGTGGTTAATTTTAAACCATTCATTGTGTGAAAATATTTTGTGCTGCTTAATGTCATGTAGTTAATCAGGTCATGCTAATAACTACTCGACCTATTGTGTCAATGCAGTTGTCATACATGTAGACTGAATATACAAGAGAACTTGATACTGTCACTCTGATAACAAACATAAACTTGAAATTGCTCCTTTTAAAAAAAACATTCACATGAAGGGAGAAGTGTAAATCCCAAATATGAAAATTTCAGTTTAAAGAAAGTCTTGCATTTTCTGATCACAATAAGCAGTAATTTCTATGACATCATGCAGTTAAAATACTTAGATGTATGAGACTCTCACTTCACTGAATATTTCAGAATAGTTAGACTGAAAATAGGGCATTTAAAAATAATGCCTACTCACTCTGCTTATGGAACAAGCAGTGCTATGATGTAAATTAAATTACACTTTGTAGAAATTTGCTGTATTGACACTAAACAAACAGGAAGCAATAACTTAATTTCTGCTTTTTATTAGTTTCCTTGAAATTTTGGAAGTCCAAATAGTCAAAAATAGACTTCCTGTCTTGTCGCTGATTTTTTTCCCCCCACCCAAAAAAGTAAGAGACTGCAGGGTGACTGTTTTTAGATGTGAAGTCATATTTATATCTCGCAAATAAGAAGCTAGATTTGTACTTGAGCAATCTTAACTTCTCATTGTAGGACTGGTCTGCTTAATAATATAGAATAACTTTGATCAATATTCAGCACTCTTAAAAGAGAAACCATAGTTGTAACAAGCAACAGAGGGTCCTGTGGCACCTTTAAGACTAACAGAAGTATTGGGAGCATAAGCTTTCGTGGGGAAGAACCTCACTTCTTCAGATAAGAAGTGAGGTTCTTCCCCACGAAAGCTTATGCTCCCAATACTTCTGTTAGTCTTAAAGGTGCCACAGGACCCTCTGTTGCTTTTTACAGATTCAGACTAACACGGCTACCCCTCTGATACTTGACACCATAGTTGTAACATTGTAGCAATAATTCAGTATCATACTTCCATGAGAGATGCAGTGCTCATGAGTCGGAGTCCATCCAAAAATACCCATACCACTTAAGATATAATATTTTCATATGGGGTTAAAGGATTGGCTCTAACGCTGCCAAACATAAATTGAGATTGCACTTATCCTCTCAGATGAGGTTCTATATTCAGCTTGCGTGCTGCTTAATAACCTGCACTGGCTGGGCTTCATTGGGCTGGGTTTTTTTGCAGTAGTCAGGATCAGCAGTATTGGCATGCCTTAGTCTGCTCTGTGGAGCAGTTAATGCAAGCTGGCTGAAAGGGATACAGCCAGTAAGCTGCTTTAATTGCAGTAGATCTTGGGTCTGTGGAATCTTAGGCCTTGGCTACACTGGCAATTCACAGCGCTGCACTTGATGCGCTCCGGGGTATGAAAAAAGACCCCCCCGAGTGCAGCGCTGTAAAGCGCCAGTGTAATCAGCGCCTGCAAGCTATTCCCCTTGGAGAGGTGGAGTACTTGCAGCGCTGTGACTACACTCGCGCTTCACAGCGCTGCCGAGGCAGCGCTGTGAATCTGCGAGTGTAGCCAAGGCCTTAGGCCCCCTAACCTCTGTGTACCTTTTGTCCCTAAAGCTTTTTCCAACAGGTTTTGAACTGGATTGTCTGGCTGCATCAAATGATGCATGACTTAGCTCTCTTATATCCACTAAAGGAGCTCTAAACTGTGAGATCCTTCTGCAAAGCAAAATAACAAATAGGTAATAAATGACCAAAAAAGGTCTTGAGACATCGAAGGCACTAGGGCTAATGACTTCACACAGGCTCTTCTCCAAGTATAGCTGCCTTCAAAGACCTTTCCTGTTAAAGCAAATCACTTTCACAGCTATCATAGAACCAATTAGTCTAGACTACTTCTTTAACACTGCAATAGAAACAAGCTTGCTTTCTTCTTCTGTTAGCTGTTAACTGAAGAAATTCACTAATACAGCCTGCATATTAGTTGTAATGAATTAAAGCCAGTTTCTAAAATTTGAAGTAGCCTGACTTCAGAAGCACTTGAAGGACTTGGTAGGTAGGTAGGTAGAGATTTTTTTTTTTTTTTTTAAGGCAGTAAGGCACCATTATCATCTAGTCTGACCATCTGCATAGCCATAGAATCTCACCCGTAACTCCTGCATCAAGCCTATAACTTGTATTTGAGCTGTAGCATAACTCTTAGGAAGATCAGTTTTGTGAGGTTGATAATAGGACTCCTAATAAAACACCTCCAGGAAACTCAAACACACGTACTGCAACAAGAAGCAGTGATCTTACAATTTATTGTTGTTGTTCCTGAACTTGTTAAGACTGACTGACTTATGTTCTAAAATCCATTTTTTCCCCCTAGACCTAGTAATGTCTTGAACAGTAAGTGTGGGGGCAGGTGCAAAAAGCTTGCTCGGAATCTGTTCTGAAAGCTCTCCAATATCAGTAATATGTCAATCTTGTTTCATTTGAGGGAGACTTGTCCAAGAAACCAGAATTTTGAAAGTGCTGTGGGATCTAACTGCACCTGAATAGTCTCCAGATGGCAGAAAGGGCTAGCTAGCAGATTTGAAGGACGATATTAATCTTAATATTTTGACATTGGTATTTGGGAGCACTTGGAAGTTTTGGTGCGTCACTTAAAACCATATTCAAGACCAGGGAGGGATGCTACTGCATCTGTAGTACTGCCAACATATGGCTGGCATTCATTCACATTGCATCATTGCCCTAAAATTTAAATGTGAAATGTGTTGGCCTCTTGTTTAACATATTAGACACTTCATAATTGCTTAGATCAGTCTTAGATTACTCCTTTTCCACTCTCTCATCCTCGGATGCTTTAATCTAGAAGTAGTGAATTAAGACTTGCTTATTCAAACAGTAAACTTTGTAAAGATGTCTCTGATTGTATGGGGGACACTTCATTTGCCCTTCCATATACAATGGTGTGTCCCATCTTGATGGCATTTGTCTTGAAGAGGCAATGTGAATGGTAAAGATGGCTTTTATAACTTGAACAGCACTTTGTACACTAACTTCTCTGCAAACTATTGCATGAAAATAACTGGTGACTTTCTCATGTTTTAGATGCCTTCAATTAAACTACAGAGTTCAGATGGAGAAATTTTTGAAGTTGACGTTGAAATTGCAAAGCAATCTGTAACTATCAAGACTATGTTGGAAGGTAAGAGTGCAGATTTGAGATAAAAGCTTATCGCAAACTAGTGTCCCAGGAAACATCACTCAAATCAGAATTTTTAAAAACTGAGGTGCATTACCACAACTCCACTTACATGGTTCTTGGAAGCACTGTCCTAGGCACAGATATAGTAGTAAGAGAAGGGATTAGTACAACCACAAATAGCAAAGCAAAAACTTTTGCAAGTAACTCTTAAGTGTGGGTTCTTATGGGGTAGTTGTAAGATAGAGATGTTTTGATGTGCAACCTACTTGGATATTTAGATTTCTAAAGTTCAGGTACTGATTGGTGGTGGTAGGCAAGTAACACAAATTGATTCTAGGCATGTGATCATGCTAAATAGTTGATCTCTACAAAACACTTCTATTATGGGTTGAATTTACTGGCTTTGTATGATGGCTACTAAGGTACAACAAACATAACTTAAACATCAAAGCTAAGAGATAAAAGTGTGTTACACCTGTCACCTATTTTTTTTTTTAAAGTATCACTGGCCCTATTGTCTGAATCTTTAACTGTTTGCTGCTGCTGCTTTTTAAAACTGAAATACCCAGTATGTCTCAAGATCTCATATACATTAACCTCCCACTGTTGGCAGCTTACAACAGAGGACAGACTGTCAGTGCAAGTCTACTAGATATCTTCCAGCTGATGTGAAAACTATCTATCTTTTGAAAGACTTCCTATTGTAGAAGTTGTGGTGTCATCATAGCCTCTGCAAAATGCACCTCTGTATTTGACATGTCTGTGGTATGAGTGCTTCTCTTAAACCTTGTCTGCAACTCCTGGGGGAATTTTGCATCACTGCGTTTGAGTAGAATTTATGTCCCCCTCAGATTTCTTTGCTTCCCCACAGAAAAATGACTTTCTGATGGGGAAAGCAAAGTGAAGCTGTAAGAGCGGTCCTGTCCCTCCCCAGCAGCTTGGGCACATTGTTTCAGGCACCTAGAGCAGCTGGCGGAGAGGTAATGCCAGAGAGGGGGATGCCAAGACTGGTGGCGCCTATCCTAGTCCCAGCTTGGCGTGGGGGTGGGGCAGTACTGGAATTCCTCTTCCCCTGCAAGGAATGGCAGGGCCGGGTCAGACCCACCACCAGAAACCTCCCCTGGCTGCTGGAAGCGTTGCATCTCACCCAACCCAGCTTCTTGCTCCCATTGCTCCTTCAGCTGTGGGGGGAGGGTCAGTCACTATACAGGCAGCTGCTCCTCCCTGCATAGCCTCTTGTGACCTCCAACCACCTTCACCTGGACCCCCCTGCAGAATCCCATTGCCCCGGCACCCCCAACAAGCTCCTGTGAATCCAGATCCTCCCACCCCTCAGCCCTCCACTGAGCTGACTACACCCAGACTGCCCCACCCAAAGCCTTCTCACCTCACCTGGATCCCTCCACATTTGGATCCTGCCAGTCTGAGCCTGCCCTGATTTGGAGGGGCAAGGCCTCAGGGTGTCTTTGGATAGATCTGGCCCTCGCATTGTCAGGGTCAGGTGCAGCCTCACCACCATGTCCTATGCATGGGGGCTGCAGGGTGATTTCCCACCTCTGTGCAGCCAGTGGCCTGAGCTCCCTACTGCCATGCTGGAGCCTCCATTTATTTATTGACAAATTTGGAAGAATTTTAAAATACTGTGTGCAGAATTTTGATTTTATTTTTGGTACAGAATCCCTCAGGAATAGTCTACATTAGGCTTCTTTAGCACAAAATTACCAGTTGGTGGAAGCCCTGATACATACAAGACTTCAGCACTGGAATCGTTATCACTGTTGCTTTTAGCCTGAGCAGAGTTATGACATGGTGTTAAGTGCCAGTGGCCTTGAGCAGTGTCTGCCCCAGGGTGTCTATCATGAACCTTCACCTGTGACACTGGTGGCAGTCTCCTTCCAAACTACCGTCCCTCTTGTAGACGTGCTGTAGTCTCCCCCCTCCCCCCCCCACAAGTCTGCTGGTTCACTTGAACTACTACTTCAGAGAAAGGGTCTATACAGTACTCATTCATGTCTTATTTCTTATCTTTTCCTAAGATGTCAGAAAAGACGCTTGTTTCTAAATGCAGTTATTTCCTCAACTGTGACAAATTTGTCAATGTCAAATTCATATTGAATACAGTTGAAAATAAGAAATATAAACTGTTTTTATAGGCAGTGAGCTGTTTCCATGATTGAGCTGTTTTGGTCAGGGATAGTCTGAAAGGCAAATTTGCGTTCGTCATCCTCAGGCTGACTGTTAGAAGTCCTCTTAAGATGCTAATTTGGACTTCTGCACAACTAATTTGTGGATAAGCCTTCAAAAAGCCTTTTACCAAAATAAGTATAATGGGGGGAACCATTTACTTGATCAAGTGGCACCTTTAAGACTAACAGAAGTATTGGGAGCATAAGCTTTCGTGGGTAAGAACCTCACTTCTTCAGATACATAGCCTCTTGTAACCTCCAACCACCCTGGGGCAGACACTGCTCAAGGCCACTCAGATACATCTGAAGAAGTGAGGTTCTTACCCACGAAAGCTTATGCTCCCAATACTTCTGTTAGT